TTTTAGGAACATGGAAGCTTCTCTTATGAAATATCCATGTGACAGCAATTTAGGCAGGGGTCATTCTTTATAGTAATAATAATGATGCATTTGTATATTTTTCGTTAATTTTTTTAAGTGTCCTGGCTAAGTTTCCGTGATAGTAATGTGCTAATGTTCAGAAGGCAACATTTCCTGCCTTTTGGGGGAAGAACATTGTGACTTCATAGGGGCTTATTTTTCTTGTTGCTAAATAATTTAAGTCCCCCTCCCCAAGGCTCATTTGCTCAGAAAAATTCTTTACCCATTTCACATTTTCTACTTAAGATGAAATATATTTTCAGCTTCTGTTATTAACCTCTACAATTTTGACTTTGGGGAATGAATAGATTGCACTGATACTGTGTTGTAATCTAGAAGCAGCTGAGGACTCTTAGTGGTTTTTCCCAACATTACAGGGAAGGAAAAGGACTAGTAGAGTGTGGATGGGAAATCCTTCATCATAGCAGATAAAATGCAATGCCGGGGATAGTATTTTCGGTGATCTCATGGCTGCCAGGCGCCTCCTACTCGGCCTGAATTTCAGTGAGCGGCTCACAGGCTCCGGGTCAGTGTTGTGTCGGTATCACATACCAGAATCGGAACCGAGACTCACTTATCCCAAAATTGTGTATATGGCAAATGTTTGTGCACTTAGTCTGTTGTGACCTCCTTACGCCTTCAGAAGAAAGGTGTTTCCACGGAAGATCAAACTACACTGAGAACTGCCAGCCATGCCTTCAGAGGCCCTCCTTCCCCCATTGTTTTTGCATTCAGTTCTTTGAAATAACCACTGCAAAATGTGTTCTTACAAAAATGCACCATAATTGCAGAGTTGTTTGCGTGGGAACGTAACACCCCTTCTGATGGCAGATGTTTGACCTAATTACAAGTTCGTAGCAAAGGACTCTTAACGACCTGTCATCTCATGTGAAGGCCATGGATAGTGTTAACTGGACCTATGGGGGCTCCGAGGTATTATTATTATTGTTGCTCTGTTTTTATTTTTGCAAGATAGGGCATACCAGTAAAAGGTTACTGTTTTTAAGTGTGAAAATGTACCAAGCAGTATTTGCTATTTATGTTTTATTTGTAACTGAGGTTGTAGAACCATACAGTTCAGAGGTGGCAGACCACTTGATTCATCGTGTAATGCAGGGAGGGAACTGAGGCCCGGCCAGGTTACGGGGCTTGTTCAAGGTCACACAGCTAGTTACTGTCAAGCCTCGTGATTGGATCTGTTATTAAAAGATGAATATGGAGTATGTTAGTGGCACATTTACACCAGCTACATAATTGTGAGTCCTCTTGTCACATCATCGTGATATTCGAATGGCAGCGGCAGAGCATTAACCGAGTGCAGGGCCCCGACGGCCCCCCGGGTGGGCTGGATACTCCAGAGGTGCTGTGTGAGACCCCTCCCAAAGATGAGCACACCACACTGGACTCAGATATTTTGGTAGACCATGGAGATTATGTTTTTACTGAGACAAGAATATCATTTTCTGAGCTTATTCCGGATAATATCACTGAAGCTTTTCCTAAGATTTCTTGAGGAGGAATGCTGGAATGGCAGAACTTAGAAATAAATGATGTGTTCTGCTTGGAGCTGTGGTGTGTGTGCAGGAACCCAGGGGTCCAGCTGAGTCCAAAGGATTTAGTCAGTTCCATTCCATAACTGGGTTTGGTCTCTTGGGCATTTAATTTGTAGGAAGATGTTTGAAGATTAAAAAAAAGGTGTGAGTGTTTTGCCAAAACCTTTAACCTTTGAATAGAACCGGCTTGTATCAGCTAGTCTTTTTTATACTGTATACGTTACTTAAGTGGCAGTGCAAATGTGTTTTACCAGATATGCTGAATCTCACCCAAGAGAAACACTGGGAATCTTTTGATGAATAACTGAGAATATAGTCTGATCAGTCTGTATATACATTTTCTATGTAAATTGACTGACATTTACATCTGTTTTTTGGATTTGAGCTCAATGTTTACTTGAATAATGTTAGTAGAGGTAGAAAATATGCTTTTAAAATGAACAATATTTGAAGCTTTGCATAGAGAAAAGTAGCCTACTTTAAAAGAAAAACTAAGTAAAATCACATCCAAGTAATCAGGTAAACCTGAATGGTAATTGGTGCCTCTTTATAAATTTTTATGTATTTTATTTTCAGGTTTGAAAAATTTACAGTTTTAGTTCATTACATAAATAAAGTAAAAGTGCCATATCACATAATCTTTTTCACATAAATCTTTATTGTTAGTAACCTTTAAAAAGTTTGCATTATTTATTGCCTTGTTAAAAACTTAGCATATGACAAATATATGTACTTCAAAAAAATTTCTGTATGTTGGCTTTAGATATTTTTTCATCTACAGCTAAATATATTTCTGTCCTTTTTTAAGAGAAAAATATCTTTGAACAGTGATGCTAATGACTAAAGAATTAACTTTTTAAAAAGGTGTGTACGTTAGAGTAAGGGTCAAGGAAAGGTTGTTCTTTTCCCTTAATTGTTTGCAGTTCTGGAAGTTCCTGCTTTGTGGTGCTAAGATACATTTTACCGGTAGTAAAAAGATTTCATATTTCCACGGTGTTTTTTTCTGTTCATCCTCTTTTTAAGAGACAGGCAACAGTGCCACCTTCAGAACAGATGGGCTTTTCTCATCATAAGTATTGGTTTTCTCAAAAAAAAGAAAAAAAAATCTTGCATTTAAGGAATGGTTGAAAAACCCCATATGTTTAAAGAGACACATAAAAAACATTGGGAGATACCACTGGCATAATAAACTGCCTTTGATTTATTTTATGACCAAGTCAAACTAATACAATCACTCCTCAGAAGCCTGCTCCTAATGTGGAGATCCAGGTCCCAGGTCTGGGTGTTGTCCCCACCCCCCTGGGGTCGGCCGGTGTGCAGGGTGGCGTCCCCACGCCCCTGGGGTCGGTCGGTGTGCAGGGTGTCGTCCCCACCCCCCTGGGGTCGGCCGGTGTGCAGGGTGGTGTCCCCACGCCCCTGGGGTCGGTCGGTGTGCAGGGTGTCGTCCCCATCCCCCTGGGGTCGGTCGGTGTGCAGGGTGTCGTCCCCACCTCCCTGGGGTCGGTCGGTGTGCAGGGTGTCGTCCCCACCCCCCTGGGGTCGGCCGGTGTGCAGGGTGTTGTCCCCACCCCCCTGGGGTCGGCCGGTGTGCAGTCTTTACCCCGAGGAGAGGCGTGGGGCCCCCGGGTCGGACCATCCGGCATGGCCGCGCCTTCCCTGCTGTGCATCTCGGGGCGGCTTCTTCGTTCTGCCTTTCCCTGTACATTTTATTTTTTAAATAATACGACTTTAAAAATAAGCTGCCAAGTTAATTATAATCATGATGATTTCAGAATCTGTATTGAAGCATAACATCTTTCTTTCATGGCCTTATGCTGACGTGATACGGTATATTTATTTCTGAATGAAAAGGAGCCCACACCCCGTCATCCTGTGGCATCGGACGGTCCCCTGATCTGCTGATCCAGCCTGGGCAGAGCGCGTAGACTCCCCTATTTGGACCCATTCCAAGGCTGACAGAGAATTATGTGTATACAACTGGTCTTGCAGCTCTGCCCCATAGTGTAAACTGATGTGGACAGTCTGCGATTAAAAATACCTAATAATGAAACATGATATGGGAGGTTTTCAGCATTTTAGTGATACTCTGATTTGGTTTTTAATTACCTGGTCATCTCATTGTTTTTTTGTTTTTTTTTGTTTTTTTTTTGCTTCTGATGTAATAGCCATTGAAAGTGCTAATAAATTTATTTCCATAGTATGTGTTATAAATAAAGATTAACCTAAAGTTATTAGCTTTTCCTAAAAGATTTACCCTTTGGTGTATTGAGTGCATATGAAGCAGTAGGTATAATCTTGTGCTAACTACACAGTAGAGGCATCAGCAGATTCCCCTGTATGGTTTTCCCTTTCAGCCTGCCCGCAGCTGGTCACAGGGGTAAAAACTGACAGCAATTCTTGTTTTGCAATTAATTAAACTACGGTTTCCATATTCAGTCATAGAACTTAATGAAAATATTGTTTCCAGAGAAAATGCATTTAAGTACATATTTTAAATGTTGATATATAAATATGTATTTTGAAAAGTTAAAATTATCAGAAAATTTTATCCATGTTTCTTTAAATGCAAATTTAATGTTAAATAGGAAACAATTGCATTTTTGCTTTTTAAAAATAATTTTTATATAATGAATCTTTATGCATCTTGTGAAGCTAAGAACCTTGTTCTTGAATGAGTGTATCAGTAGTATGTTCTTCTAGAGAGTGTAACGTAGAAGGTGGGCGTGAGCACTTGCTGCTGGCTTTGCAGTTGTGTCAGTGACGCCCTGGTGTGCAGGACAGGTGCCCTTTCCTGACCAGCTTGCTGGTATTTATTTTTTGCCCAGCTTCCCCGTGATGGTTTTCTCCCATGAAGTTGTTTCATATGTTCAGAGTGCAAGTTTGACTTGTAATGTACCACGGAGATATATTCATAAAACTTAAAAAATAAATCCCTTTTTTTTAGTTTTTAACAAATTAAGTGATGCAGGAAAAAAGGTGGTTCAGTATTTAAAAGAAATTCTGTAGTGAAACTGTTTGTCCTGAGAATGGACTTTTAGTGAACATAATTACCTTCAGGTTTCTGAACTATTTTATTCTGGCTTCTTAAAGTGAAATTTGACATCTTCCTTTTAGGATAAGAAATTATTTTGTAGACATGTTAATTCTTGAATAGCTGCATCTCACAGAGGTGCGGCATGGCCCGCTGCTTAACTTCAGATGCCCTGGGGGGGGGACGCAGCTGCCGTGTGGGTGCTGTCTGGGCCGTCGCGCTGTGGGTGTCCCGCTTCTTCGTGGGTAATAGGTGGATGAAAGCGGTGTTTCCCCAGCCTACTACTTTTTGCATGTCAGAATCTAATCTTAAGGAATTTAGTTCTTATGATTCTTATTTTTAATCTTTTTTAAAAGCATTTTAAGAAACAAAAGAGGCTAATTCCTGAAAGAACTGTTTGGAAGTACTTTGTGCAGCTCTGCAGCGCGCTGGAGCACATGCATTCCCGGCGGGTCATGCACAGAGGTAAGCGAACTGCAAGCGCCTTCTCGTGTCGTTCGGAGCGATGCGGCTGTCAGGCAGTCTGAGAATGATGCACGGCATCATGCTGCCTCGGGTGATTGATTTCCAGAATATGATTTTACCGGAATGATAGACCTTTGAGTAGAGCCCTCCCTCCTTGGTTTTAAATGAGAATATTATTTTTCTCTTTGACTGTTCTGAGCATTTTGCTATTATGGTGGTAAAGACAAAAAGAAGAGACGCAGGAAAACAGTGGGACATGCAGAAGGCACAGGATACTGCTTTCTCCCCAAATGAACAATGTCTATTATGGCCTCTTAGATTGTTAATTTTCAGCATTAGCTCTTACCATATTTCTGATTATCTGCTGGTTGGGCAGTGTGTGTGTGTGAAGGTTACATCCCTAAGAAATTTATCCATGGATTTTGGGTGTGAAAAATTTCAGTGCAGTTTATTTAAGCACTTGAGATTTCTAAGGTCATCTAAGTAAATAATTGTATGCAAATAGAGTCACGACTTTATGTTTTATGTAAATATATCAGTAAATTAATATTTAGTAAGAGTTATCTAAAGTGGTATGAAAAGGACACAAATTTATATTCGTTAAATTTCGCAGAACTAAATTTTGCAGAACATAATGTAGTTGTTACTACATTATGTTAACAATAGAGAGAAAGTCATCCAGTTGCCGGGAAGAATTGGTGTTTAAGCTGAATCACTTAAAGGGGAAATAAAATTTTCTGAAACTTTATTTGAAAGTGGGAAACAAAATGTGTTTTAAATGAAAGTAGAGTGACCGTGCAGCATGATGAGAAGCCCTGAAGACTGACAACTCAGAAATGTCAGGGTGTAGCAGAATTACTCAACATAAAGTGACTGGTTCACAGTTCAAACTGACTTTCGTTTTTAAGATACATTTAAAATTCCACCATGAAAAGTGGTCTTTAATCCCTTGAGAAAACCGGAACTAACACCATCTCCCCCGGATCCCCTCATTTACTCGCAGATATAAAACCAGCTAATGTGTTCATCACAGCCACTGGGGTGGTCAAGCTCGGCGACCTCGGGCTCGGCCGCTTTTTCAGCTCCAAGACCACAGCGGCGCATTCTCTAGGTGAGAGGCACACGGCGCGCCTGCGGGGCTACCTTTGTGTGTTTGTGCGTCTCTGGCTCTTAAATTCTAAACAGAACTTTAATCTTCAGACCCTGAGCAGATACCTGCAGCTCTCTGTTAGGTATGATGTGTCCATTCACATGACAGTTGGGTACCCAGGTGAACACTTGGTAAAAGAAAATGCTAATGAACAGATGGGTTTTACCTGTAAATGTGGAGCATTCCTTTGATTCTACATTTAATGACATTCAGATAATATGAAGAAAGCATATATTAAAGGAGGTCGTCACCTGGCCATTTAAAAATACTACAGTAGTTTGTAAATATTTATTTATAAAATCACACATACGGTTGTAATTACTACAGAGGGGAAACCTAAAGATAGTATTTGACTAATGAGGAAAAAATTCCCCTAAATTGTAAATAGAAAATGTATGTAGTTTTTTCATTCTAGAGCTAATAATAAAGCAGTACCTAAAATGGAACTGAATGTTGTTACTACATTATGTTAACAATAGAGAGAAAGTCATCCAGTTGCCGGGAAGAATTGGTGTTTAAGCTGAATCACTTAAAGGGGGTGATAGAGCTTCTCGTACAGCTCTTTGGGTCGTAGTTCCTCGTTGTCAGTCGAAGACGTGGCTATGATGGTGGCAACCAGAATTAAATAAGAATTAAGATCAAAATAAGTTGGTTCCAATTTAATGTGGCTCCATTTTTGGTGTAACAATTATATTGAAAACCACTGATTAAAAAAAAAATTACTGTTTTTAAATGTGAAATAAGCACTTTTAAATGACCTGGTGAGTAGCAAGTAAGTTATACCTCGTGGCCAAGTACTGTAGTCAGCATTTGACTCTGTTGCCTGGACGCTTGACATTTCTCTGACTTTGTTCCTGAGGTTCTGTGTGGCCTGGACCTGCCATTCAACTTTTAATTGCTGTAATCTGGCACCTGGTCCATTATTTGCTGAATGATGAAATTCTGGACCCTAATTTGAACAGTGTTGGGAAGGTAATACTTGACCCTTTCCACAGTTTGTTTTGTTTGGTACCTTATGGGCATAAAATTTCAGCTGATGCAAGTAATACTGTTTTTTTCTGTTCCTTTCCATCTATTCTTATAGAGATTTACAAATTTTCTGGGTCAGAAAATTTGATAAAAAGTTCCATAAGAAATGCCCACATTTGAGTAGTTGTTTAATAAAGTTTTGTTTGGAAGTTACAGGTCCCCAAAGGCCAACAGTGGAGGGTTCCTACGAAGGAGCCTAGTGCCACTGGCCACTGGCAAACACAGTCACCGTGCGATGGCCAGGAGGCTCGCCACACCCCGTCGGTCATGCACTTACAAAGGCTAGGTCGCCCTCACACCCACTGCACGCGCTCGTGCACACATGTACTTCCTAAATGCTGCTCTGCAGACCCGCTCCGAGCGTGCTGTAGTCTCCTGGCCCTAAGGACCCAGCTTGTGAAACCCAGCTCTTGACAGTTTTGCCTGTCACAGTCTTGTACAAAAGTTCTAGGCAGGGTTTACAAACATATATGCATCTTCAAACTAAGGTGATATGTAAGTCTGAATTACATGATACAGAGAATATAATTTTAATAGACTTAATAATTCATTAGGAATTTCTAATTTCAGGTTTTATCTGAGTCAGTTCACTTTGAGTCGTGCAGTTCTATATATGTGTATATATATACCATATATGGAAAATAAGTGGGAATGCACATAATTATAGACACTCTAAGACACCTAAAGTAGAGCCATTGAGAAAATAACATTGGGACAGTTCTTTGATGAATGAATCAATGGAAAAGTAACTTCTTTCACAAGTACTATTTTTCATATTGTTTTGAAAAAAGCACATTCTTAAAATTAAGCAAATTTCTTTTATTCCTTCTAGTCTTCTCTGTGAAGATGTTGACGGTTTGAGACTAAATCTCACTTTAGGAATTGAACTCTAGCCTACCAAGGGGGCTGTTTGGATCTAATAAAAGTCCTATTGAAAAGGATCAGGAAAAATTCTCTGCTAACAAAGAATATGTGTGAAATAACAAGGATAGAAGTCCTGACATGCACTTATTGTTGACAAGTTGATCCTAATTTTTACTTTTAAAGAATTATTGCCCTTGTATGTTAATTCTCATATTTTTATTTTTAAGGGCAAACTTAAATTATTGCTTCTAAGAGTGGTTCCAAAAAGCATTTGAAAATATGACCACCTATACAAATTTGTTTACAGAAAGTATGATAGAACTATAGGTTTTATTATATGTTGATTTGTTTTCTAATTTTATTGAGGATAAAATCTGTAGGGCATGATTTATCCATAGAGCAGGTCTAAATTTTAAGTTAAACTAAAAATAAATGAGATCTGTATGTAGTTCATAAAGAAAAATCTGAGTAAATTTACTTTAAATGAAGTGTATCCTGGAGCCAAATTTCATTTGACTTTGTAAAGGAGATGTTTTCAGGAATTTAACTTAAAAAGGCAAAAACATATAGAATTTTAGAAACGTCTTGTTGAAATTATGCATTTATACTTTCTTTTTCCAATATACATTTTATTCTTCAAAAAATCAAATAAAGAATAATACCATTTTCATGCTTATTGACTCACTAATAGGAATACACACTTCTCAATCTTCTGTATTTAACAATCCTTAAGAAATTGGAAAGCTTTGAATTTTTCAGTTGTTCATTTTGCATGTTGTTTGTTTCATTTGTTCCATGAGCAAATCAACGTTGTGTTGTCATGAAACAAGCCAGTTTTCAGAACCAATTTTTAAAACGTGAAAGTTTGTCAATGTAGAATAGAGTAATTCTTTGAATACAGGTCTAATAATTACAGGTACTAAATCTGATTTTGGATGTTGGGCCATGTTCAAATCCTCAAAGTTGGAAAAAAAAATCCCAGGCCTTTATGTTTCCCTGCCGCTTCCTTGCTCCCAGGACAGGCCTTGGATCACAGCGTCTCTGCTTCCTATTGCTCTTCCGTAATCCGTGATCGCTTCATGTTCGGGCTGGGAAGACATTCTCCCTTGTTTCTGATATTCCTTGTGAATCAGTTTTCCATTCTTAGCAGACTTACTTTCCTCTGAGACTTTACCTGATCATGTGACTTTCCCCCAGACCCTTGATGGTTCCCTGCTGCCTAAAGGATGTCATGCAAAGCCCTCGGCTTAGCTGTCGGGGCTCCAGAGCCGGGAGCCTTCCCCCTCCCCATTCTGTCGCTTGACTACACGGTCCTGCCTGTGTGCCGGCTGTGTTTTCCTGGGGCTGCGTTCCGAACAGGAGAGAGAGCGTGTTGTGGAGAGAATGGGAGGCATCTGGATTTACATGCCGATTGTTCTGCAGGACCTTCATCAAGCCATTACTGATTTTCAAAGGCTCAGTTTCCAGACTTACATATAGAAATAGAAATGTGGGCAATAACCATCCTATGTTGTTACCTCTAGTCAATACTTAACCTAATACTGGAATGAATGTAGAAATGTTTTCCAAGCACTGTGACAGGCTGTAAATGTAAGGTGTCTGTGCCACACTGTGGTGGTGGTGTGAGGTGCAGAATCCAGAGAGGGCAAGAGGGGGAATCCATGTGCAATTTGTTAAGTACCTGAACCAGTTAATTTAAAAACAGCTTTGATATATTTTTTATTAGCTATTTAGGTGCTAATATAGTGATTAGGAATGTGGCCTGAACAAGACAAGCCCTTATCTTCATTTCTCCTTGTGGCGGGAAGAAGGGATAACAGAAACACAGGAATCAGATGCCTTTCAGCCGTGTGACAGAGTGTGACAAGTCAGGGACGTGTTTTAGGGAGGGCAGTCAGACTCGGCCTCTGAGGGGACGTGGGCTTTGAGCTGAGGTTAGAGGGATGCAGACGGCCAGGGGTAAAGGGCCGGGACAGCAGTGGCTTCAGCCAGCCGAAGAGCAGCCAGGGTGAGGGGCGGACGTGGGATAGCTGTGCCCACGGGTTGCCGAGCTGTGGAAGGAAGGGTGCTGGCTGGGTGCAGGAAGAGCCTGCGCTCTCTTGGGTGCAGTGGCACCTCTCGTGAGGGGCAGCGACCAGAGCCCCGTGACCTGGGGTGAGGACAGCGCTCTGGCCCGCCTCCGTCTTCCTGAGGGTGATTATGCCCGGTGCTGGCTGCTATCAGCAGGCCCCTCTGCGTCCTGGGCTCTGTCTACCTTGAAGGCTTGGCAGGTACCCCCAGCACCCCTCCAGCCCTGGGCGGAGGCAGCACCCATGTTCTTTAGCCCAGAGGGCAGGCCGCCGCCGCTGCCTATAGTGAGACGGGCTCTGGGGTTTGTCCACCTCCGCCCTGTTCTGCACGAGAACTCAGGTTGAGTGAGGTGTCCACTGAGTGCCTCTGTACCGACTGCCACAGAAGGTGCCAGGGACACTATTGTAGGACGGTACACATCCCTGTGCATTTTGCCCTCTCTCCTTTCCTATCGTTCATCATTCTTGTAAATGTTACAGATGTTTGAAAGTTTGTTATATACGTGTCTACACTTTTTAAATTTATGAGGACATCTCTCTCCCTTGTCTAGGTAAGTGGCTTTCAGATTTCCTGGCAGCAACGCCACCAGCATTGTAAGCCCAGAGGAGCATAACCATATAATGAAGTGAAAGTTTCATGCGATGGTGTTTCCCATTACAACCACAGTGCACTCTGATGTTGTGTGTTCTGTTTTATTTACTAAAAATAATGCCAGTTGCTACCAAATTGATTTCACAATTTATTTGTGGGTTATGACCTGCAGTTTGGGAAACACTGGCATGTGTTCACGGTGCTTTCACACTGTTTACTTACTTAGTGACAGCTTCACATTGTTTTACCTACTTTTAGAGGTTCTCCTGACTTGCTGTTCAGTCAGTTCAGCTGGTCAGATGTGTGAGTCAGTCGCAGGGGGTCGGTGATGAAATGCACGCCAGATCTGTGCAGGTGCAAATCATTCAGCTCCCGAGGCTCTTGCAGATAGAGTGAGCTGTGGGTGC